TAGCGTTGTCAACTAGGGTTATGTGGTATTTCTGTCCGGGGAACCGTCCAATCCCATCAAAACAATCTTTGTACTCGTCCAAGACACCAGATCTGTCTAGCTTCCGATTTTGGGTTGTTGATGAATTGTTGCTTGTGACTTCTTGTATATTGACTGTAACCATTCCTAGTTGTTGTGCTTGTCGGCAACCAATCATGGATGGTTGACCAGGGGCGTTAACGATGTTGAAGGTAGTGGGTAAGGACATGTCCTTGAATGTAATGATTAGTTCGACAGTTCCTAAATTTTCGATGATTCCTCCTCCATATCCTTTAAGCTTGTTTTCACATGRTTGGAGATTTAGGGACAGGTCGAGGGCTTGCAAATCTCCGGTCGCCAGGACACATGTATCCGCTCCGGTGTCAACCTTTACCCTCATGTTTCGTTTGTCGTTGACTCTGATAGTAGTAAACAGCTTGTCTGGGTACTTGTCTATTTCATCAACAGAATATACAGATGCAATAGACCCTATCGATACTGTGATTGGATCAAGTTCACTATCACTACTTCCGGAATCTTGTTCGCTTCCRGTGTCTGTTTGCTYACTAGAGCTTCCATCRTCTTGTATGTGAATRTCTTCACCTTTATAGTCGGGACTTGCCACAATTTCATTGACTTGCTTAAGGCGACGYTTCATGCACACCTTCTTAAAATGGCCCTCTTTTTTGCAGTATTGGCAACGTGCATGGGTGGCTGGACACTTCTCTGTCTGGTTATGCTTGTTTCCRCAYCTGAAGCATCCCTCAAATTTGAATTTGTATCGGTGGGGTTCCTTTTGTTTTGGGTTGTTAAMCTGTGTCGAGCCTCTATTGCGGGGTTCCATGAAAACTTTATTTCCTTTGCTTTGATGCTTTTTCTTAGTTTTTACATCATGGATGACTGGTGGCTGTGCAATGGMTTCCATCTGGCTTTTTGTGCTTTCATTTGTCTTGGCAAGATCATAGACTTGTTTGAGTGTAASCTCATTTCCTTTCGATATGGCTTCTCTTCTGACTTTGTCTGAAGATACTCCGAACACAAGAGTATCTCGCAGCATTTCGTCTTTGAAGGCAGGGTTATATCCTGCTTCATCTATCAGGGTTCTAGCTCTGGTGATAAACTCTTCTAAAGGCATGTCACCCTGTTTAAGGCATCTTAGTTGATATCTTGAGAGGATTTGATTACTTTGTGGCTTCGTATACTGCTCAAATTTTTCGAGGATCTTATCCACTATCAGCTTATCGTCGTCTTTTTCCCACGTCGCGGTGTTGTAAATTTCGAGACCTTTGTCTCCGCACCAAAGTAGAAGTAATTTTGCTTTCTTGTCTTCATCTTTGTCTTCCAATGGGCCGTCGAAAATCAATTGACACTTTTGTTTGAAGATCTTGAATCTTTTATGTAAATCTCCTGGAGAGGTCCAG